TTGAGATGGGCTGCAGCCTGCATGGAGCTCCATGGCACTGTGGGTACACTGCTAGCAGTCCCAGCCTGGAATCAGTTGGCTACGGTATGTCCATACAAGCTGCAGTCACAGCAGCGACCGCCATATGGCCGTGCTCGTGTGACCTGCTGTCTGACATTGGCTAAGTCACTGCCAGGGCCAGCAGCAGAACAGACTGCACTAGGAAAGTGCTGCCCCACTTGTTAAAGCACTGCCGTGAACGCAGGCTGTGAGCTGACACTCACCAATCTGCAGCACTACATCCATCGGTAACTCCTTACAAATTCATTGGATCCATGTGGCTATGCTGAGAGGCCAGAGGGATGTTCAGAGATCTGAACAGTCACTTAGCCCAGTGCTGTGCACAAACTCTCCTCCTCCCCACTTACCTCCCCTTCTGTCTCTGTACGCCTTCCTTTCCATTACTGCTTTTGGCCTCATCACTTATTTAGGCTCTTTTTTTCCCCTGCAATGACCACCATGCACTGAAACCTCTCCCTGAGTTAGTCCCCATAACCAGTGGCTTCCCTGGACTTGAATTTCTCCTGGGGAGCCATTTCCATTAAGACGGCCTTAAGATATGAGCTGTTTTGTAATGACTAAGTAACCGTGGGTAGCCTTAAAAGAAGGTTCATTATCAAGGTACTGCCAACCATGAAGCTGGCATCCTTCCCTGCAAGTTGTACATCCACTCCCTCTGTCAACTCAACAATCTTTTAAAGACTTCTTTGAGGCAAGAATTGCACTTTCCATTACATTCCAGAACCAAGCAGCAGTCACCCATTTCAAGAATGCAACCAGCAAAACACTGTCTCAGTCCATTATCTTCATCAAATTGCAAAAATACTCAGTCTATCAGTATTTCCCTAGCAAGCACAGACTGTGCTGATCCAGTAAGCAGGAGGAAAAAACCCCCTAACTTCAGGGCATGCAGAGTTCAACAAGACCCAACCCTAATCCTATGAGGTTTTCTATGTATCCTTGAGAGTGAGTGGTTAATCTCAAATAACATAACAATATCTAGCTATATGCTATTGGCATCTTGAGGGGTTTTTTAGACTCCTGTAGATGACAAGGAAGAGTAAAATGTATTCAAATCCAGCAATATTTTTGATGCCTTGTGGAAATAACTTGAAAGGTGGCTGTTTCTTTGTCACAATTCATAGCCAGTTTCTGAAAGCATGAGATCACTTTCATCTGAGGAAGGAATAATTGAACAAAACATGCAAGGTTACTTCTATCATATCTGCTCATGTTAGACACTGGCCAAGTTTTAAACCACAGTGCAGCATCGCAGTGTTCCTCACACAACCTCAATGCCTGCATGCACCATCAGTGCAACAGTGAAGATGTTAAGGTTACGTGTAGATCAGCAGACACAAATGTAACTGCGTGTGCACCCATGTGTACATAAGTGGGATCATATGATTCTTGGGGACAACACTGGGAAAGCAGGAAGTGGGTCACTGTGACCTGGATGCCAAATAGTCTACAGAAACCTCCTCCTTCAAACAGGCCCTGCAAAACAGCAGGTTGAAACACAGAAATGAATGTTTTCAAACAGCAAGGATTACTGTGTCAAATAGCCGTAGGAAATTTGTGTTGTGGGTATGGGCAAGTATGGCAGAAGGTCCAGGTGTGCTGAGGAAAGGGGCACAGAAGCTGCTGCTCCATCCCAGCACATCCCCAGTGAAGACCAGGCCACCTTAGCAGAAGCTCTTCCATCATCACACTGCTTGTTTGCATCCGAGTCCTCATCTCCGCCATGCCACCGGATAAAACCTGCCTTATATACATTAATACCTCTTATAAACATTAATTTGACAATTGCCAGCACAGCAGCTGCTCTATTCTTAATGAAAAACACAAAGATCATCCTGCCCTTCCTCCTCCATTTCCTTTCCCAAGCTTCACAATCCCCTGCACTAATTCACAGAGTCTTTTCCTTCCTCCTGCAAACAATTGCTAGGGATATAATTATCCTTCCATTCATTTTGCAGGAAGTATTCCCCCTTCTATAAGCCTTGTTTTTCACCCACCTCTTATACTTCTTCCTGGGTTACATCCCCATTGGCCTGTCACACCTTTGTCAGTACCTACTCCTGACTCCATAAGCCAAGGTTAGTTCTGGGAACCGCTACCTGGCTACCCAGAGCTGTGCCTGTAGCAGCCGAAGTGGCAGCAAGGGCACACAGAGGACTTCCACTCCAGGACAATGACCTACACTCTGTGCCCCTTAGATGGTAGATCACTTCACCCCTACCTGAAAGCCTCTGGAAAAATTAAGGCTCTTTTCTTCATCAACCCAAGTATTCCAGGCCCGTGTTACCTAGCACCAGGTAAACCACGAACGCAAAGTGCTCTGTAATCCAAAGTCAAGATGCAACAGCTGGATAGAGGCAGCAGGGAAGGGACTACCAGGAAGCATCACTGCTCCACACGGTCTCACCTTGGCATCTGCTTCCCTAGGGACAGGCTTTCTGGAGGCACTGTCACAAAGCAGAGTTGCAAGAGGGGTCTCCAAGGGAGCAGTGAAATGGCTTTGCCACCATCTGAGCATGGGAAAGAATGTCAAACAACTCCTCTGAAGAATGAAACAGCAGGGCAAAGGTGACAGCACCTTGGAGCAGCCAGGGCCTGGCCAGCCATTCAGCATGGCAGCAAGGGGGGCATAGGCCACAAGGGTGGCATAGGCCAGGACAGCCTTGGAGTGATATATTCTTTAGAATAAATAGAACTGTGCCCCTCTACCAGGACACACATCTCTAATCCAAAGCATGCCAAATATAAAATAACTTCTACAACCAAACAAGATGGCTCAACTGCTTCCCAACTCCTTTCAATTTTCCTTCTCAGTCACAAAGAAATAAAGATATATAGAGACTGCCATTCTTAATCATTTCTTTCTTCTCGCAATATCCAGACCCGCAGCAACCAGTGCCCTAGCAGAGAGACTGCTGTTTACCAACATGCCGCATACAGCTCTTCAGCCAAGGTTTAGTTTATAGGACACAATTGTTCAGAAAAATTACAATAGAGTACATCCAGTGTTTTGGCAAAATACAAACACATTTTGTTTGCCACAGTTTACCACCTATATTGTTTTTCCAAAGGATTTGTTTGTGCAGTTCAAGGAGTGAGTGAAAACAGACAGATGGACCCAGTCCTTCAGGATGCACAACAGGGACTGAAGAGAAGAGGGATCCTATTGCTGCCAGGGGCTCAAAGCAGTCTGGATTTCCTGCTTGTCATCAGTCTGTTGTAGTCCCTGGACTCCAGCTATACAGCTTATAAGCTTTTATACTCTAAAAAGTGAGTATGTGCATGTGAGTTTGGTCCTCACGCGTATTTCCCTGCTGCCTTTGCGGCAGCCCAGCAATCTTGCATCTCTTGTCATGCTAGGAAGAAAGTTGGAACTCCATGTTTACCAGCTCTAACCACCACTTTTCTAAAGCTTCCCAGGCACAAGCAGCTCTGCCATACACACACACTCCATACAGGCTTTAACACTAAAATGCTGTGAGACTGGCGGCCACCCAAGCAGTGTGGGTTACCTAGGGACAAGAATGACTGAAATGGTTTCTGGTTTGCAGGCACCAGTGAGAAGACACCAGATTCCCAAATCAAAGGCAGGGAACACTTTAATCACAGAGCGGAAATATGACTAAGTGATAAAAATCTTCTTTCTTGAATATCAGCAGAGGCATGTGAAGGAAGGCCTTAGAAACTTCAGGTTAATCCATCTCCTTCCCACGGCAATGGCCACAGGTTTCCTTGGCTGTCACATAGAGCTCATAGCCCAGACTACCAACTGGGCTACCACCACTCCTCTAAAGAAGGGCAGAGAGGGTTCTCGCTCTAAGAAACATTATAGTCTATCCACTCATTAAGAAATGATTGCTCAAAGCAACAAATATCATTATCTGATCTCCTGGACAAATGAAATGTGAATATTCACCAGAATTCCATTGTGACCCTGGAAATATTCTGAACTACTTTTTTGAAGGCTTAAGGGTAAAAAAAATGCAAGAAAAGTTGCTTTGATGGACCACCATCTGCTCTGGACATGGACTGCACACCCACTACTTAGAAATGCTGTCTGCACTGGACACAATCCATCTTGGAATATGCTTTGGAGAATTTACCGGAATATGTGGAAAGTTGTGATAGAGACAGTTTCCCACTCCCAGATTTCTATAGCAATATACCTCACAATGCTCTTGTCTAGTTCTGTGTGAAACTGTCTCAAAGTCTGAAAAACTTCAGATTGAAACACCCAGCTCCCTCCCCATTAAATGAAAGATAATGGTACTTTTCCAGCTGGATATGTGGAGAAAAAAACAAACCAAAACAAAAAAAAATCACTCCAAAATCCAGACTATACCAGGCAAGAGAGAAATGTTAAACATTCACTAAAACAGAAGCAAAATCTGAATTATGCAAGTGGGGAGAAGCATTTGGATACGTTTTCCTAGAAAACGTATGCTAGCATCTGGGCTAACTGCAGAAACCATCAGCTGAGCTTCCAGAGCAGAAAGCTGTCACACATCTGGTGATCTAGCTACCGATTCACAGTTTAGATATATACCAAGCAGCAGCTCACTGCCTCCTGCAAGAATTTTGGTTGGCCAAGCAGGACAAAATATTTGGCATGAGAGGCAAGAGTTAACAGCACACATTGCAATTGCATAAAATGAGACCCATGCTTGTTCTCCTTGGATCCTTTAAATTGGATCAGATACAACAAAATCAGTCTGGCTTGGTCAATGAAAAAGGAGTTTAGACAAAATCAAAAAGCCTTCTACATCTCTAGGTACCTAATATGGGAAATATTTGAGATGCTACAGTTCAGTGGCATAGTCCAATATATTTACAGGGCCATCACTACTTCGCCCTTTCTACTGACTGGAATCTCACCAGATGAAATCTCATCCCCTTGCAGCTGGACCAATGCCATACCCTGCCCCACACTGATGAAGTACCTTGGTTTTACCCAACTGCCATTCTTTCTTGCTGCTGTCATAGGTCTGAAGAAAGCCTGCACATACAGCTTTGTTGTTGTCCGAAAGACTTGGCCCCTTCACAAGCATCTTGTACCTAAGAACCAAACAAAATCTCATGAGATTATGCATGGCAGAAACGCCGCCCGCCTCCCAATCTTTTAACTCTAATTATCCTCCTCCCATTAGTCCTTCTTCCTCTGGGACCTCCTTTCTTCGTGCTTGCCTTCCAATTAGGAAATTTCCATCCCCCAACCTTTATCTGTTCCTACCACAGTGGCAATTATTGTTGCAATCCCAGTAATAAAATACAAACTCAACAGCATTTTTCAGTAAAGAACAACTCTTTCTGAAACACATGCTTTCATCAGACACAAGTTATTTTGTTCAGTATAGGGGTGGCATTTAATGCTCCAAGAGACAAAGGAAGCAATGTTCAATGGTCCCTTCTAGCCTTAAACTTTAAGAAATCCTTTTGATGCAGCTAATTAAAAGAAATAATCACTCTATCTTTCCAATATTAATCATCAACTATAATGTCCATTAAAATTTGCTTCAGCCTGCCAGATTAAAGGTTTTAACCATGATATTTTCTTTTTACATCTTATGACCATCTGGGTTTTACAGCATCACACAAGCAAATCTGTGGCAAAGCTACCAAAAAAAAAAAAAAGTTTAAAAAAATGGACCGTTTGGCTATTTTTTCATTCTGACTTCTACCCTAAAGGCAAGTCTCCAAGAGGGCTTCCAGATCAGTCTATGATATGGGTAATAAAGCCATGGTTAGAAAAACATCCCACAAATGATCCATATTAGTAACAGCAGTTATAGAGAGAACAAACATATAGAATCATGTATCTTGGGGCTCTTACAGCATGTGATACAATGATAGCAGTTACCTGCTGAGAAAGTCCTGGAAAAGGCGACGTATAGGGAAACCTGCTCTTCGAACTTTCACTGTTTCCAGCATCCCTGAGTATCGGAGCTGATTTAGCACCACATCTGGATTGAAGAGATTTGGCGCCTACATAATGATCCAGATTCAAAAACAAATAAGAAAAGAGACAGAATAAATGTTGATCTTGGTATTACTTCTTTGCTGACTTGAACAGTGTTTCTCTGAGCACAGTCACAGGCTGTATACCCATTTCTCTGTAGAAAGTCAACCCTGCATATTTGGGTATTCCAGGTGAAAAGGGTGAAGTTTGAGTCAAGGAGAAAGCAACCTCACAATGCTGCATGGTGCAGAAAAAGGGACGAGAGGGAGTTTGGCAGATCCTGGAAAAAAAACCAGTCTGCAGACTGCTGTCATAGTCAGATCATGGCAGTAAAGCAATGATATAATGTATTAGGACATACAAAATGCAGAACTCCAACTCAGTTCTCTTTGCAGTCTGTCCCCAGTCAAACTGGAGACAAACCGCAGAATTCTTTTCTGGCATAAAACCCCAATCAGGCTTTCCTCTGCCATGCCATATCATACATGGTTTCAAAACACACAAAGACAACAATCGGTTCAGAGCTCCCCACCCAACCTAGTTAGCAGCATACCCTCCCGTCACAGTTCACAACACAAGCGAGAGCCAGCCTGTCTCTAAGCACTGTGACTTGCTCATGAAGCGTCCACCTCCTCCGTCTCAGAGCCAGGGAGCTGCAGGAGACAGCTCCTACCACACAAGCCCTGCATTCCACAACAAATCGTCTACAGGCACCAAACAGGAGCGATTGTGTCTTCTACAGCTCTGGGCTCTGCACAAGCTTGGTCCATCTTCCAGGCTCCATAAGCACAGAAAGAGGTGGGAACAGATATATCACATTTAGCACGCAGTCTTTTCATCTGATTAGCAGGAGGAGGGTGTATTTTTCCTCAACTATAAAACAACCAGAAGGAAAAAGGGAAGGTGAGAGGGAACTGTTCTTATCCTCAATTTGGACCCTGACAGAGGCACCTGTCGGGTGTCTGTACAAGTGAGTGCTCATGGAGGCCTGTGTCACATGCATACATTGCAGTAGAAGACAGACTTGCCTTTTCTGTATTTGGTTTGATGCAGCGGATGAAGAATGGGTTGGAAGTACTAAGCGTGGCCATCAGGGAATGGAGAGAATCCTAAAAACCAGCAAGACAAAACCCAAAGGATCAGTCACTACACGAGGGAAAGGGGCTACATTTGATGCAATAGGGTCTTCATGCAGCCCTCCCATTCCTCATGTCCTTTGACTCTGCCTACCAAAACTTCAATAACCCAGGAGACCCCTTCCTGTCCAAAACACACCCACACAGTTAGTTCACTCTAACACTGTTTACATGGTCGTGCTTGTTCTCAGAGCTGTATAGGTGATGCGAGTTGTTTTTACAAGTCTCTCAAGCTCCAAATGTAGGAAACTAAAACTGTGAAGCTAACAGAAGGTTTGCAGACAATCTAGGGGGCTGAGATTCACACCTGCAAGGTCCCCCCAGTAAGGTTTTATTGGAATTGCCATTATAGCTGTAAAAGATGTGGCCTAAAAGGACACACACACTTAGCTGAAACACCAAACCAACATGAAAGATCAAAGAACCTCGAGAACTTCATATACTTAGCAAAGCATTCTTTTCCTCTGCCACCCTGGTCAGTCTTAGCACCTCACGTTTTACACCAGACAGAAATCCTTGGGGTAGCGGCACTGTCTTTTTTTAGCACTACAGCGTTCCTGCACATTTTCAGTACTGGACACAACACAAGGATGAATGACTTCTCTTGGCTGCAGGCCTTGCTTTACCCATCTGCTCCTCCCCAGAAGCCTGCTGATCTCTTGGAAAACATCCTACCCTGAACTGGGAACTGACAGTCGGTCTGCGCCTCTGGGTGCCCATCTTCAGCGTCTCTTCACTGCAACGACTACAGACTCTTTCAAAAAGGTCATAGATGAAGTCCAGCCTAAGGGAGAACAACAGAAATAAGGAAGATGCAAGACACCCATTACCTGTGAGAAGATGGCTCTCACTCTCAGCTACTGCCCTGTCCCAGTATGAAACACCTCATTTTTACTCCTGCTGTGCCACAGCGTGGCTGCAGGAGGCAGTTCAGCTGGGCACGTCAGTGAGGAAATTAATACTTTCCATGTGGTTGCCCAGACCCCGTGGGCTGCCCTGTATGCCACATTCGGTTGCAAAGCCAGAAACCTCACCTTACAGTGTCAAGCAGGATACCACGAAAAGGAAGATGTCCACCCTGCACTGGCTAGGACACCTCCCTCCAGCTCTAAGTCCCCAGGCAAAACCACCGTGAAGGTGCTCCAGCTGCATCACTGTGTGCTGTCCGCGCCTCCCAACCGAGCTCTCATGGCTGGCACCCGTGACATGCTCATGCAATTGCAACCACAGCCCTTCTGTGCCCAGAGGACTTCTAGAGCTACCCACCCTCAGCCTAGCTCAGCTCTGGGGAATCTTCCGCTCTTTTGCCACTCCTTAGGCAGTGGTGCTGCTTCTTACGAGGTTGCACAGAGTTCTCCAGCACTGCTTGTGCCAGTTTATTGTTAAGACTACTTCTAGCAGAATTTCCGTTTCTGGCTTGTTGAAAAACCCTGAGTCCCTCTATTATGCCGGACAATGATGGCTACAATTCTGGCTTCAAGCCCTGTGTAAAGTGATTCTCAGATGCCACTGTCCAAGTAAGGCAGCTACGAGCAGCTCATACTCTCAGCTCCCTCAGGTTGTTGCACTGTGAGCAGCCTTGAAAACTCTGCAGCAGGCTTCAGAGAAGATGCAATTCTGAAAGAGTCACATCAGGCTGCAGCCCAAAGGCAATACATGGACTGTGGTAAGAGGGATGTGGTAGAGTTGCTACTCAAAAACTTCTAGGGTCCGCCATGTTATTAAATGCCTCTCTCCTTCTACTAGGCCCCAGCTCTGTCTTCCAGACCTTGCCCAAGGTCAACGTCAGCTCATTTCTCTGGGGCCATGTTGCAGCACTGGGATATAATATTAGGGGCCATGCCTGGTCCCACAGCAAGGGCTCAGTCTGGCTCAGGATAAGGATGGAAGCTCTCCACTAACAAGCAAACTGGAAAACTAGCAGCCTCTGTACAAAGGCTGGCATTTGACAGCATGGCAAAGAGCCTTGACTCGTTCAGGGGCAAATTTGCCATTGTTGGGACAGGGAGGTAAGAGCAAGAAGAGGAAAGGGAGAAGAGAGGAGGGAGAAAAACAGCATTGCCTGGAGGGATTTCTGTCCTGCTTTTACAGCTCTTTTCAAAACTGGGACAACAAGAGTACTGATTAAATCTGTGCCTCATCTGACTTCTCCAGCTCTCCTTTCTTTTGCCAGGACACTTAAGCACAAAGAGAAAAATGATAAAGAATGATGCCTGATGCTCAGACAAAAGCAACTGCTTTCCTTCGTCTGGTTATTACATGAATGGGGCTTAGTAGAGCCCAACAGAAGTGGCTTCCTCACAAGCATGAGGGGGGCATACCTGCTGTCTTTCAGCATGTTTAAAATGTCATCTCGAAAGGTGTCTCTGTTCTTCTCCAGAAAGCCTCTCACATCATATAGCACCTGCAACGCAGACAGAACCACTAGAACAGTGCCGTACAAATCATTAAGCACTTCTACGTTAACATGCCAATGTACAAGACCTGCAGCAGAGCTACACAGTAATGCTGCAGGCATGTGCCAAGAACCGAATTTCTGGGGTCAAAGACCTCCAGAGTTCTGCAGTTACTGGCAAGAAAGTGGCTTTTAGCCATCAATTTAAAAAAAAAAAAAAAAACAACAAAACACAACATAAAAAAAACCTCAAAAGCAGGAGCCAAGTGAAACAGCTGCAGAGATTTGCCTGGTAGGTGTGGGGGGTGAAATCCTCTGGAAGGCGTGAGGAGTCCATTCGCTTCAGGAAATACTAACTATGCCACCCAGTGCCCTGACCTCCCAACCACTACTGCTCAGCAGATATGTTTCTAGGAGGAAATTAGCCCTTCTTTACTGTGCAGGTGCCAGTCCTTGACACACCTCCATCTGCTCCATATCTCTCCACAACAAAGAGCAGCATTTAACCTTGAAGGCTTGGAGACCTTTTCTTTTTTGCAATAGGTATTTAGCCTTTTCTCCTCCTTCCCAAAAGTCAAATTTTCCTTGTGACTTTTACTTGGGTTTTGTTTGTTTGAGAATGTCCAAGAAAAGACAACACAAATAACAGAAGCAAGGAGGAGTTCACCCCCCAAACCAAAATTTACCTAAGAAACTCCAACAAGCATTCAAGCAGGAGAATATAGTACTGGAGAATGACTTGCTATTTTAAACCCATTGCACTCCCTGCGCTCTGGTACAGGGAACTTATTATGCAGAAACACACAGCTCTGAGAGATACTCTTGATTTTTGGAATCTAAAATCCAGGACCTCAAGCCCAAGGTACACCAAGCATCTCACAGATACACCATGAACACCTACCTCCCCAGCATAATGTCTTATGCCAAATTGATGGTCTGTTACCCGAGGCTTCACATAGTAGTGGTTGCTCTGAAATAAAATAAAAAGAAGTCTTCTTATCATGCCAGCGTAAGGCTCAGTCAGGAACTCTGCCATGACTATGACAACACTGGGAACGGCAAGGACCTTAGCTGTTGCAGAGCCCAGCCACATCTGCTGCAGCTATCTGCAGCTACATTACAAATATGTTATTACAATAACATGGAAAAATCCAACCCTTCAAGGCATGCCTCGTGAGCAAGGGCTTGCAGAATCAAGGTTGGGCAGGCATGCCATGGATAAGATGTTAATTCTTGTGTGTCTGACACCTGAGGAGACTGGGCTTCACACAAACCATGTGGTGCAGGACACGGGATCAGGATGCAGGGAAGATGGCAGCTTTGCAGAACACCTACACATCATTTTCTTTGTCAAAGGAAATATCATACCAATCTCCTATCTTCCTCTATATTTCATCTTTCTTTGTACCTCTCTCCCCCTTTTTTCAATATTCATTTCTCCTTTCTCTTACTAGTTGTTCCACTCTCTCATTTTTCCCCTCCTTTCTTTGTTCTATGAAAACAGTTCCCTATGTAAGAACAGCCATGCTGCTTGAGATCAACGGTCCATCCAACTGAGTATTCTGCCTCCTGCAGTGGCTATGTAGGGTAGAGTAAGAACAAGGCAAGTAAATGATACTTTCATGCTAATACTCTCTCAAACTCCAATATTTTCGTGAAGTCTGCCTAACCGGTAACCCCAAGTGGATTTCTCTTTGAAATGCTTGTCCTTTCCACCTGAACCCATGCAGAATTCTTGTATCCAGAGCATCATTTCTCAGGGAGCTCTCAACCAGCCACACAGGGAACTACAGCTGGATGGTTTTAAGCCTGGCTCCCATCAGTGCCATTTGTCTTCTATGGGCCATGTGTGACTTTTAAACCCATCACATTCCCCCTAAGTCATCTTTTTTCCGCACTGTAAGGTCACTTCAACATAGTTTTTCGTAACACTGAAGCCATCCCAGACAGACCTGTTGTCTACCAGTCTGATATAACTCCCTTCTTGAGTGGAGGGGCCCAGTGGGGTACACTGTTCAAAGAGCAGGTGATCCATGGATTATACAGTGCCATAACAGTGTTTTCAGCTTTTATTCTGCTTCTTTCCTAAGAATTTCTAATACTTGATCTGTGTTTTTTATTACTACCGAGCACTGTGCTGATGTTTCCATGGAACTATCCATCATAGCCTCTGAGTCTTGCTTCTGAAGAGCAGCAATCAGCTCAGGGCCCATCATTTCAAATGTGAAAGTGGGACTGTTTTCCTTCAGACACACCATTTATCTACACTGCTCTTCATCTTCATTTTACAACCCAATCAGTCTCATAAGGCCCCTCTCAGTCCAGTCTTGCCCCGTGAATCATCAGAAAACTGCTACCTCAGTGCTCGTACAAGACGGAGTCTTGCGGGTTTCCCTCCATTGAGGTAACTGACCATTTACATTCTGTGAATTTACCCATAGTGAAATAAGGATTACAGGTCTATAATTTCCTAGAATACTTCTAAAAATTAAAATAATTTCCCACCTTCTCAGACACAAGTACTAAGAAAACTTTAAGTAAGATGTTGCGCAACAGTATTAGAAATTCAGCTCTTTCATCTCCAAGTTCTCTTAGCAGTACTGGGTGGATAGTTTCTGACCCTGATAATTAGTTAGTGCTACTGAAAACTTTTTCATTGCCTTTTTTCCTTTTCATATTGACCCAATTTCTTTGCTCGTCCCTTTCTCCAGTCCAGTCATCTTTTTTAAGACATCTTTTTTAAGCTAGAAACTTCCCTCTCTTCCATGCCAAACATGGCTGTTACTGACTGTCATATGGATTGGCACCCTCCTCTCCTCCCCCTCTCTACCAAGCCCTTATATTTCATCCATGCCCACAATACTTCTGGCTTCTTCTCCCATCTCCCCTATTGCTCCTTTCCCCAGTTGTATCAGAGGTCATATTCTCTTAAATCCCTGCTCTATGCTTTTCCTCCTTAAGTCTATTGCAATCCACAGAAAACACAGAGAAGAGCGCTTGTTCTCTTGTAATGTCCTTCAGGCTTTCCAACAACACTGGCTGGATGCCTTCCAGTGCTTTTCCAGCCAGCACTAGAGATTTTAACTGGTACAAAAAACACTTTCGCCTTTAAAAAATGCAGACCCTAGAGCACTATATATTTCATCATTCCTCCCTGCACTTCAACTCCTCAGCCTTGTCTATCTTTTGTAAGCTTCCTAGGGTTCCACGTCAACTGCTATCCCCTCAAAGCAGACACAGGTGACACTATGAACAGCTTAATGAAAAAGCTACTCAATGCACAGAGATCACCAAAAATAGCAACCAAAATGTTGTGGGTTATAAAGGAATGCAAAATAATACCGTCAGTCTCATGCTGCTGTGCAATAAACCACAGGTACCGTCTTACCAAGGGAACTGTATTCTGGTCTGATTATTTATCTCAGAAAAGAATAGAGAAAAGATGTAGAGGAATTCAGACACAAACAGCAGAAAGAAAGAGGAGCTTTAAAATTTCTCCATTTGGAGACAAACTGAAGAGGTCAGGACAGTTCAGAAAGAAAATTCAAAAGAAGTGATGTATTAAAAATATTCATAAGTTCTACATTAAAAGTTAACAAAATACCAACAACAATAAAAAATAAAAAGGTAAATCAGGCATTCTCATACACCTTGACTTTTATTACAATGGAAAGCCACAGTGGACTAAATTGAAGGCATCAAAGGAAATATTTCCCCAAAACTATGCATAAGTAGCCGAACAGAAGTCATTGCTATTGTATCCAATTTGTAGTCATGAGTATTACTAGCAGAGTTAGATGCAAATATGAAAAATGAGAATATCTGCATCTATGCTAATTTTAAAAAGTCAGATAAAGGATACAAATTTGTATGTTTTCAAGCTTGGATGAAGCCTGACTTAGAGGACTAGGAAACATACTAGCTGACAATGTTCTTACTAAAGTAGTAAATTGTTCCATAAATCCCTGCTACAGGGTTTAATTTGCTTTGTTTTCAGTCTGTTTACTGAAAAGAAGAGAGTGTTGGCTGTATCAGAGACAGGGTAAGAGATTGCTGCAGTGATCTCACTGTGGTTTCTGTGTCCTCTGGATAACTTTATGACCTGCACGAAAAAACCCTTCTACTCCTGTGTCCACAATCCAAAAAAGAAGAGGAAAGAATTTAATTAATTAGGAACAATAAGAGAGCTTTCATTAAAAGTCATGAGGCAAAAGCTGTCCCCAGCCTCAGGAGACAGAGATCTGACGTGCTCTGGAGCAGACTTCTGTGAGTCAGCTGGCAGGAGAAACCCATCCACACTGTGCAGCCGCATCCTGTGCCTGGGGTGCTGCCTCGTACCCCGTCGCAGACCAGCAGAACCTGACCTCCATTCCATGCTAGAAATTCAAATCTCCTCTACCCACAGCCTGTGGAATGCACACTCCCTCTCTCTATGTGCACAAGAGACCATTTTCAGGTTTCTTCACATACTACTTTTGTTCAGTGCAGCCTTATTAAACACTCACAGGTTTGGGCCTAAGGCATTTTAAATTCCCTGCACAAAGCACGTATTTCACATCAACAAAACCTTCACTTTCAGTTTTGAAATGCTGATGGGGCTAACATACTGATCATTTGCCTGCCAGGTTATTTTCTTACTTACCATATGTTGGCTGTGAAGTTTTTCCAGAAGGGTGTTGTCTGTGCCTTTGGGGAAACGACTCTCTTCATTCACCAAAGCCAGTAGACCCAGTTTCTACAGCCGAACAAGAGATGGGCTTTTACAGTCAGCAAGAGCTCTAAATACACAGCACCAAGCCAAGAACTGGAGATCTGGACAGCACATTGAGCAATAACCCCCGAGTTATATCCAGCAAAGCTCGAGCTGAAACCAGAATTCTGGACAGTCAACGTATTCAGCAAGCAGAGCATAAGTGGAGATTATTTATAAAAAGTTCACATTAAGATTTTACTTAAATGCTGCTCCTTGTCTAAAACTATGACACCCTCCCTAAGCTTACTCTCAACAATGAGTGGAGATCTGCTTTCTTGAGCCGGGACTATGGTTAGAATAGCTCATACTTTCGCCAGGTCACGATGGGAAGAGGATCTAAGCATACCTGTTTTTAAAACCAGGAAACCCCAGGAAAGATCTCCAGACAATGAGCAGTCCCTGCTGTGATCCCTGGAAACTGTCACAGATAACGGCTCACCTTCTCGATAAGGTCCAGGCACTCTGCATTATCCATCCAGTCAATGGCTTCCCAGTTTATCCCTTCCCTGATAGTCAAGAACAAACAGAACAAAGATGTGAAAGGCAAGATCCAGTGCCCTGAGGTGCAGAACAGAAGAAGCTGAGCATGGCAGCTGTCCCAGGACTCAAGACAATTTGCAGGAATTAGGCTTTGCCGTGGCTGAGGAAAAAGAATAGGACACACAATGCACTGCTAACACAAGGAGATGGAAGTAGCAAACAGCCTTTCTTATCCATCCCAGTGATTTAGAATGAGCTCATCTTGTAGTTATTGAGCAAATTTCACACCAAGCACTAAGAAATTGTAGTTGCTCTCAGTTGCTCTTTCAGGAGTGATGTGCATCAGCCCAAGTGGTAGTGATGATAGACAGTTTGCTATACAGCTTCAAGAGTCAACTGCTGACCCACCAATTTGGAAAGCAGGCCCGAAGCACATCTGCCAGAAGACTGAACCACAATTCATAGGTCCACCAGGAGAAGAGACAGGAGTAACTTTTCAGGGAGAATTTTGAAGAGGATGACACAGATAAGCTTTGGCCTGACATGTAGGGGACCTACAGGGTGGCCCTGCATCTTTCAGAATGGGAGCTGAGGTGGGTCTTTAGTGTCACAGACCCCTAGTCTAATCAAATGATGAAATACATGAAGCTACTTACAAAACCTGAGGAAGCAGACCTGATACTGTGAAAGATGAGCTTTAAGCACATCACCCTAGAATAACTTGATGAGTAGTCAGTAATAAAATTCTTTTGTTCTTTCCAAAGTTCAGCCACAGAACTTAAACTCCTATGTAATCATCAGGAAAAAATCTTTTGTCACGATGATACCAGTCTTAAAACAAGCTTCCTGCAATGGTGGAATTGGCCTGAGAAGTGAGTGCATAAATAGCCTTGCAGTTTTGTAATCTTTAGAATTTCATGAATTGCCTATTCAACTGTCTCTCTTTACAAGGCTGCTCTCATTTGCCCTCACTGATCCTATTCAATTGCTTCATTCACAAACATAAAGGCTTCTGTTTCAGAGCAAGAACTGAAGTATTTGTCTAGCAGCCTTCTCTAGAAGCAGAAATACTCTAGAACATCCCAGGTACTTCACAAAATACAATTCAATATGAAGCCCACAGAAGAGAAACAGCTCTGCAGAAGGCCCCATGCTCTTTAAGCTCAGTAAACAGCCTGGTTTAAACCTCCTTGCTGAGGAAAATAGGCTTTTTCACAGCATAGGAATCTCTAGGACAGAAAGAGCTGTCAGATATCTAGCCACTTATCTTTATGAACTTTACTTTTTGCACACCAAGATTTTCACCTGCATAACACCACCACTACCTTAAGTAAATCATTACTGAAGTTAGTAATAAGGCCGGTGACCATGTCTTCTAATGGGTTAAAGCCCAAGATCTTTCCATTCAGCTGAGAGACAGAAGGGAACCTGGACTTTCAAAATACTACAAGGGAGAAAGCTTTGGCTTGGAGACAAGTGTCCTATGCTGGCACAGCACACGGGCCAGTGCTTACAAGACACATCCACAGTCAGGGTTGCACTAAGGCCCAGCTGCCCCTCCTGCCTTAGCGGTAGGGACTGGACAGCACACAAGAGGAATTATGTCCTCTATTCTACCATCCATGAAAGCAACAGGGGCCCCGCACCCTCCATTTGTCACCTGTTATACTCCAGCTGCTCCAAGGAGAAGATGTGTTTGTTGAAATACTCCTGGAGTTTCTCATTTGCATAGTTGATGTTAAACTGCTCAAAACGATTCACCTGTAAGAAGAAGAAAAGATTATAAAACTTAATATTCTTGTCCCTGGGCTCTAAAAGAATCTATAACAGCAATGGGGAAGGTGCCAGACATGGAATAAAGTCAGAGAGCATAGAGGCAAGGGGTGTCAGATGGACATGAGGAGGACAGTACGGGGAGGTCCACTAGGAGAACAGCTTTTGTAGCTCATTCAAGGTTAATTCAGTAGGCCTAAATGGTAGCAAAGCATGCTAAAGACAATCACATTTCTCTTCTTAAGAAGAGGAGATATAAGTCACTGGGTTTTCTCTTCTGTGAAATATCTGAGCAGTCACTATATGGCTGTTCAACATACATCCCTCATCAGTTGCAGTCAGAAGCATAACACACAGGATTCTCAACACAAGGCGACACAGATGTAAACAAACAGTATGCACTTAGGGGCTGGACATTTACTTCGCATAAAAGTAAAAAACTCAGTATTACCTATCACAACACATCAGCTGAGGCTCTGTGTCACAAACCAGACCTTGAACATCAGCTTACGTGAATACAGGTGGCAGAAATGGGCAGCTAAATATATCTTGCTGCTTCTAAGAGGAAAAGGCAGTGGAGAAATCCCAGTATGCTCTATGCTAAACTAAACAGGATACAAACCAGCCAAAATTCCTTCCTATATGCACTGACATCTCCAAAACCAACCCACCCTGCAAAAGACAAAATCCTGACCTGAAAGTTCTCGAAGCCAAAGATATCCAGGATGCCCACAGACTTAAAGTTTTCCTTGCCTTTGATCTTCGTATTAATCTTGCTAATGAGCCATGAAAAACACTGGGAATAGAGCGCCATAGAGAGGGAGTCCCTGGAGTCAGCTGCCTGTAAATAGAGAAAAAAATGAGTCACAAGGAGGAAAAAAGGCGTAAGGGGCATCATGAATCTCTATGGGACTTCAGGTTCCTCCACCCCTCTTCAGATGTCTCAGCCTCTGTACTGGTTGTGTATGGAGCAGTATTTATATGTACAGTCAACATCCAAGTTTGCAGAGCCCTGCCACACATAGATGTACCGCGTAACTGAACTTGAGAGGCTGAAGGAAGTAACAAAATCACTGACATCTTTTGGAACAAGTGCTGGGATAGGGAAGGTGGCAAAATACCTCATGACTAAGACCACAGTGGTTATTTGCATCACCTGAGCCAACATTTGCAGTGACAGGCAAGGTATCTCGGTTCAGTACTCCTAGTAGAGCTGTCAAATGGGTGTCCACTCAGTTTTTCAAAAACTGGTAGAGCAGGATTTAATAGAATATTCTGTCACCAAGTTACCCTCAAAAACCCCCTCTCCAAAACTTTCCTGCAAACAGCATTACTTTACTGGAAGCCAGGTAGGCCAGCCAACAGCCAGGATACATGCCCCAGGAGAACATGGGTTGGGAGACCTTTCTAGAGCTGACCCAACATCCCATGCAGTGATCATAACCAAGTGTCATAGGTGGAAAAATTTTTGTGATCACGTTGTGATTATACATTTTTTTTACATTGTGATCCCTGACAGGCAGTAGATAACTGGGTGTATGTAAGTGTGTGGACGAATGTCCAAAATCAAACTTTTGAAATCTCAAGTAAAAGCCTGCTACTTGATAGCTGCAACAGGAATGGGCTGGTTGTAAATTTTGATAACACTTGGACTAAACAAAAGTGGTATGCCCCAAATCCTCCAATTAATAAAGAGAAATGAGACAGAACCACAAATTAAGAGGCTGATCGCACGCTGTCCTTTTGCACGTACACTATTTAGATTGGGAAACCAGGACTTAGGCTTCTGGAAAGAAGAAGAGGCCAAAAATAGGGTTCCAAAAAGAAGATGTGATCCCAGAGTAGAAAAAGGGGCCAGGAAAGAAGATGGCAAAGATCTTGACTGGAAGAAAGATGCTAGAAGTGGGGAAAGATCCTGGAGATCAGAGATATGTGGAGACAAATGCCAAGGCATGCCCAAGGACCTTGGCTCGTAGTTCCCGAGACTGGTAACTGCAAGGAGCTACACAACATGAAACAACACAACTTTCTGCCTGACCCTCCTGGACAAGCAGCAATCTCCCAACTGGGAAATTGACATCTAATGAACGTAATGCTGAGGGGTGACTGAGCAAATATGTGAAATAGTTAAGTAGGGCAAAAGCTATAATCTTGTCATTTCAGAAATAAACCACAGTATCTAAGCCAATTACAGGTTGTTTACCTACTTTCACCTGTGGCACCAGGGTAATTTCTTCAATAGGCCTGACCAGCAATGACAGAGATCTTGTAAACGCATTCTCATCCTCTTCAGTTTTGCAAGTCTGAATAACGTGACCTCTCCTGTCCTGCTTTGCTAATGGCACAGGCCAACTGCCTCTGAATCCTCCCAGCCCCTCTCTCAGCAAGCTCCCGACGCCCAGCCTGCGAGATCCTCCTTTTCATCCAATTTCACTGTTTTTCTCCTGGGTAGTATCTCCTCTCCAGCAGCCCAAGGCTGAGGACATACAGCAACCTTCCCTCTCCACAGAAGAAAACATTTCAAAGCATGGGCACACACACCTTTTCTGGGTGTTTCTTCTCTCCATCAGACAGTCTGTCTTATTAGTTGGGACTGAGAACGCCCTCAAGGCCATGCCTCTGTAGTGTCTCTGGCTACACAGTAAGTTGGACTCATTTTCCAGGAGCAGGACCTCCCCATCCAGCTGTAAGCAAAGCTGCTTTCCCCACAATATGACTCAAATGAGGTTCTCAAAGGCTGCTTTCATCCTCCCAGCTTTGCCCGCCTTCAGGCCAGTTCATCCATTCAGCCCACTGAAATGTCAAAGCTCAGATGGGTAAGGAGCCCCTTACACAATGAGAAATCCCTGGCAGCTCTATCAGCGCATTCCCACAACAAGAAGTGGGAATAGGTGGGCACAGTACATGGGGGCTTAAGCACAAACAGTCTTTACAGGCCCAGTGCAACAGGCTCGCCTAGTGAAGACAGGTAAGTAGTAGCATTCAGTTGCTATAACAATTTTCTTGCAGTCTTAGTACTTCACTGGGCTGCAAGCAGTTAGGTTGTGGGGTCCCACATGCCCAAATGTCATGAATAGCTATACTATCAGGGAAAGCTCTGTTCAGGGGGACTCTTGTAAACTCTACAACTGCACGCTGTCACTCTCGACTGCGCAGAGCGTCTCTGGCAGTATTTGTTATCTGTCCCTGTGCACTGATATAGACAGATGTGGCTTATTTAGGACAGACAACTGAGAAGAGACACCGTGGCACTGGATACTGAGGATATCTACCACAGAGTACAGGCTGAAAAATAATTTCATATAATTTCATTGCAAAGAAAGGTCACAGACTATGAAAAAAAGATACCATTTCTTAAAGGCAAAGCTTAGTTTGTGATATATTAGCAGGTGTGTTCGCAGCAAGAAATGAGGCAACTACTCTGCTGTAATGAGCACTGCTGAGACTTCAGCTTGAATACAATGTCTAGTTAGGGGCACTCCACTTCTTGAAAGATGTGGGAAAACAGAGACAGAAGAAGAAGAGATTTGTAAAATTACTTACAAGGAAACATTGAAGGAACTGGACTGTTTAGCTTAGTAAAAAGAACACCATGTGAAAAACTTCACAGAAGCGGAAGCTTATAAGGTGGACAGCTGGGATGTCAAAGGTAATCTAAATATGAAGAAAATCTTTTCAGCTCCAGATTCCACTGCAGCTAGAGCACGATACTTAAAGAGGCTGTGAAATTCCTTCCATGGGAAATCTGAAGGAAAGTTAGACAGACATCTGTCAGAGAGAGCCTGGTTTATCTATCAGTAACTCTGGTTTATCTGCCAATGTAGGGATTGGATTGATAACCCTCTGCAGTCTGTGCCAGCATAAGATATCCATTACAGATGTTCTTTTTGCTATAACATGATGCTTCTTCCATCCTAGTAACATTACTCCTTGTTTGCCAGTGTCTTGCATTTTATTAATGACAGAATATTTTCTAGAGTTATCTGTGCATGGACCTAAAACATCAGAAGTGCCCACAAGTGATCAGCAACACCGTAAGTTAAAAGTTAGTAGGCACAACACTGTAATGAACCACAGAGGAACATAATAGATAAGTAGGACTGGCTCCAGCACACAGTACAGGTTCAGAAGATGAGAAATACATCTGTTTATTTGGTCGTCCTTTGGCCCTCCTACAGATACACAAAGAAGCTACTGTGGGGTAACAACTCACCACCTGCCGGATGTCTCATGGTAAATGTGTGCAAGTTTTTATCTTCCAGTAAATGCAGCGTAACCTGGGAGTTCTGAAAGGTAAAAGCATGCACACATGCAATTCCCACAAAGCATCTGATGTACCTTCTGCCTGACACAAGCATGACCAATTCCTGGTGAGTGAAGGTGACTTAGAACCAGTACTATGCATTGCCATTTGTAAGTAAACTCCCCTGTAAAGCCTAAAAAGCAGAATCAAAATTGGGACCGGAACATAAGGGCAAAACACTTCAGGACACAGGTCAGCACCTAGAAGGTGTAACAGTAAACCCTAAACTCGAATGGATGAGGTTGGGGAGAGAGGGAAGGTCTGGAAACACAGAAGTGGCAGAAGCAGTAGTACACACCAGGACACTCACCTGCTCCACAGTGAGAGGGGAGCTGATCTCTTCCCCACGCAGAATCATGGACCTCTGTGTCAGTACTTCAGAAAGCTGAAAAGCGTCTAGGCCCAGGAGGTCACTGGCAATGTTCAGCACTAGTAACAAAGGAGAACACACTTTTTTCTCCTGCATGGATCCCCATCGCTCATGGGGAATCCAAATTCTGCAGCTCAGTGAGGAAATCCCAGGGACTCCTACAAGGCAAGTGACTAAGCCCCAGCACAAAACACACTCCCCTTTACTTAATTCTCTTTGGCATACCCAAAGCTGTAAGTTCACATATCCAGTCTGAGGCAGGGTTAGCACCGTTACGGGCCACAGTCAGACACTTCTATAAGTCAGCCTCTCTGCTGACAACAGGAAGAGCAAAGCACTGTATAAAGCTCAGCACCAGCAAAATATTTATTGAATGAGAAGATATGTTTTCCTAAAGGCACAATAAGTGCAGTCTGAGCATGGGATTGCTAAACTTGGATGTCAAGAAGAAAGGCAATTAACTTAAGACTTAAATATATTACAAGTGCTTCATTGCTTCTGTCTGTTTAGGGATTCACCTTACCAGAGCAGCTCAGATTGGATAACTGTAAGAGTGCACACCAGCAGATGCTTCAAAGGAAGACATGGGAAAGTCTCTAACAGACTACTTCTATCTCAAACTTCTCCCTGTTCCTATTTCTTCCTGCTCTTTCAACATAAAAGAGAAACTGTGAGACTGTGGACCCAGTCTGAGAGTATCCAGGAGAACAAATGGATCACAGGGCCACAGCCCAACTATATCATACTGGTGGTCTGAAGCCGTGCATCCTCTGGCAATGCTTTTGCAGGGTTAAACTGCAGGGAACCTGCTGGCAAAGGCACAGCAGACTAGCATAGCAGAGGGAGAAAGGACAATGGAGTGAGCTTTATTGGGGGCCTTATGGGGCTTTGCATAGTCACCAAGTTACCAGGGTCCCACTTACCCGCTTTCGTTGTAACCTGGGCCCCGCCAGCTGTCATGAATTCAACGTTTCCCAAATGAAGTGTGCCAGAAAGAAGCTTGAAGATGTCTCTGATTTCTTCGGTGCTGAAGTCCACCACCTTCATGGCAGTCTGTGCAAAACCACACAGCTAATGTTGGCTGTATGTACAGCCACAGTAAAATGCAACCACGACATTCGTGCACAGCCCGTATAAAATGTAAAACTCAGAATTATGGTCATCATGAATCAGAGCGAAACGGGATGGCACAGCCCCTCTCTCAGCTATACATCTGTCAGTGATCTTCACTGTCTCCCATTCTCTCCTTCATTTACCCTATCCCCATCTAAGGCAGGTGGGCATTTGCCCTGTCCTCAAGTTGGACTTTGCTGCTGCCATTGCCTGTCTGTCACAGGAAGAACACGCTTGTCTGTGCCTGTGTAAGGAAATCCTTCCCTGACCACAGGCAGTACAGGTTACAGATGTCACTGGACCACTTCCACATTCTGCCTTATTGTCTTCCCAGAAGGACGGACCCATATAATACACTTAATTTACTCTGATCCATGTAACCCCCATAATTTACTCTAGCTTAGAATAGTAGATTTATGCAGCAAGGTTTAAAACCAGGCTTTCAGCATTAACTGCTAGCAGGTTAGAAACAGGTTACCAGATAATGAGGAAGTATGGCCTGTTCCCTCTGCATGTGAGCCGGGGTTCTTGGGGCATCAATTGACTTTGAGAGGTAGGACCTAGTTTTCATGAATTCTCCCTGGTACTGGGGCACTCCAGGGTTCTGTTTCCCTGCTTTCCTCCAAGTGTCTCCTCAGCTGAAGTATAAATGCCGTGTTGCCATTGAAACCTCTGCAGTACAGGAGACATTTCCTTCCCTTAAACCACACTAATCAGGAGCCACTGAAATCCTAAGTGACTCCTCTCACTTTGCCTATCTGGTTTCATCTATGTTATTAAAGCCCTCAGGGCAATAACCACTTATCAAACAAAACATGAACTGCATATTCATCCTGCTAAACCCATAACCTCTGGTAAAGCTACAGATGTCTGCTGAAATCTGTGTGGTATTTCAGAACATGCCATTTGCACAGGTGATACAACTTTACCAGAACATTTCTGGAGAATCCTACCTTCAGAACAAACTACTCCTCTTCAAATGGTCAGTGTGAGGCTTCCTGCATCAGGCCATCCAGAGGGCTCCCAGGAACCACTATGGGGTGGGGGGTGGGGTTCAGACTCCCCAAAGCCTCCACCATTCCAAATTATTATTCATCCTCAACTGTTTCCCAAATTCACCCATTTCTGCACACTAAAAACACTCTTTGAGCCTTGTTTTTACCACGAACAGGGAGAGCCGAGTTTCAGACTCATTGAACACCAAATTTTGGCTTAGGGCAAATAAATTCTGCCTGCAAGATCTAGACCCTGCAGCACATTTAGCCCATGACATTTGCCCAGGAGTTCAGGTGAAGCTAGGATAAGACTCACCATGACCTTACTGAACATTTCTACATCATTGAGGTTCTCATCAGTCACACAACCAGACTGGTTCAAGTAGCGATACGTCTCTGGCTCAGAGAGGAAGAGGTTCTCTGCAACGGAGGAAAAAGAGGCAGGGAGAAGAAAGACAACAATGTATTTAGCAATCAGCCTTTTCATTCCATAACCTTGGTCCCCCAAAACAGAGTGTATGTTTACCATAGGGAGAGCTCATCTGAACAGATTCCATATCCCTCAAAAGCCACACCTAGAGAGAGAATGCACTGGGGAAGGGGAAGAAGAGCGTGTGCAGTAACAAAGCTTGCAGATGGTATGCAAAATGATTTAGAACAGTCAAATCCCAAGCTGCAGAGTTGCAGAAGAATATTTCAATACTGAATTGACTCAGAAAAAAATAAAATAACAGATGAAATTCAATCTCATAAAGTGTACAGAATATAGTCTTAACTATACACATACAATAATGACCTCTAAATTAGGTATCACCACTTAAGACGGAGTTCTGAAAGTCACAGTAAGATTTCTGAAGACATGATCTCAGTGCTGAGCAGCATTCAAAAACTGAACAAAGTTCAGTTCCTTCAGTTTTAGAAGAAACACAGAACTAAACATAAAACCAGAATTAGGTCTCTGTACATATCTGTAGCACAACCAAATCTTAAACACTATCTGCAGGTTTGAAACCCCATTTCGATAAGGATAGAGGAGAACTAAAAGATCTATGGAGAAAGGAGGCAAGGATGATCAAGAGCCAGAAACACATTACAAATGGGGGAAGTGAAGCAGCCTGGGACACCAGCTTGAAAAAGGGAGATGTGGAAGAATAGCAGAGATCTGCTGAAGAAAATAATCTGTTTTGTATGCTTTCTGTAAGTATTTGCTGATAACTATGGTCCCCAATATTTTCCTTTGCTTCAGATGGATCTCTGAATTGACTTATGTGGCCATTCCTCCAAGAACTCCCTAGAACTGAAGCCCCACTCACTTCCACTCTGTGTCAGGCCCCATTTTTCCATCTGATTATCTAATACACACAGAACAAAGGCATAAAGAAATTCCCCAGTCCCTCAAAACCAGAGTGCAACCGTAACACGTTCCTGCCCGCCTATCTCACCGCTTCAGCAAGACCACCAGTGCTCAGCGGTGCCCAGGGCAGGTATACACAGCTGTTGTTAAGGAGGTGCTGCACCACAAAGAGGATTCTTCCATAGCCTGTGGCTGCCGCTTTCTCTGCGTGCCCTCTTCCAGACCCAGCTCTCCCTTCCCCATGTACAGAGCTATAAACCCTTTTTCAGATACCAGACTTGTTTTGACTCTAGTTCTGCCACTACATCGCTGGTCTTTCTAATTCTTATCTCTCCTATTACCTATACTGAAGATTTATTGTAAAAGTTTTTCTGTCAGTCCAGCCTTTGAACTCCCTGAACAGCTCCCATCAGCTTCTCAATCAAGACTCTTTACCTTTCCTTTGCCTCAAGCCAGTTTCATTACATCTCACTTTGCACAGACTTTTCCCTCCAGCTCAGAATGCCTGAAGTGTCTTTTCTCATGTAGCATTTCTGTCACCCTCAGCCTCTTCCTCTCAATTCCCCTTTCTGTTTCCCATGAAATCACCATATGACCTTCAAGAAAAAGTTCTATATCGAGTACCTGAAATATCCATGCTCTGACTTACACCTGCTTACAACTGACTTACACCTGCTCACGTGCTGGATTGGAAAGAGGACAGAGCCACATCCCAGAAAATGAAATTACCTTTCTGCTCCCCGCTCACACCAGCTAGCAGAGCATAAAAGATGTGGTAATTCCTCTCTCCGGGGTTCTGGTGTACCACTCTGTTCTGAAACAAAGAATACAGGAGTAGCCAGTAGAAAGAGATACATTTGTGGTTGCAAAGGCAAAGAGAGGACCAGGATACAGGTACATCTCCAGGGCTAATGCACAAAAGAGGGGCTTCTTCCAGATTAGTGATGGTGTTGTCTAAATAAGCTCTACATCAAGATCTTGTCATGTGTGGCTGTGCAACTGAGCATGTGCAGGCTTCTCTGAACTTACTTAGAGAATGCACGTACGGACGAACTGAACCTTGTCAGCTCTGGCCTGCTCCTCAGTGAGTTCCTAAAACTACATCAGAGATGTCTGCATTTGGAGTTGTACCCCCATATTCCTCTCTATGGAACTGAGTTTCCAGGTACTTGTTCTCTCTCCCTTTCCCCTTGGTAAACGGCTTTTTTTGGAGCCTCTCTGTAACGCACGGAGTTTATCAAAGACAGGAGGACAGGCTCTGATACAGAACAAACATTGTTCCTCCACCATCCTCTTCCTCAGTTGGGACAGTTGCAGTAGTAACACCTAAAGAGCTAATGTCTACTTGTTGTGACAGAGGCAGCATCATCCAAGAGGAGATCTGGCACTGCCCCACCGTACTATGAGGAGAGGGCTCACCCAGCAGTCAGTAGAGGTGATACCTACCTTTTCCAGTAAATCTGAACAGCATGTTAAGGAGGAAACATTCAAATGACACATGCATAGATCTCATGACGATTGGCAAAGAATTTTCTAGACACCTTGGGACAAACCCTGTAGCAAGCTACAAATCATTAAATAACTGATACTTTGGAAAGTGGACAAAGAGTGGTCCCAAACATCATCTGTGATCCTCCCTCTCTACTCCTTGTCCAAGGAGGTATTATGTGCCAAAGAGATATTTAAAAGGGCAGGGTCAGATAGAGCATAGGACCTGCACAATGGTGAGGTAACCTAACAAAGGATGAGCCACATTACGGACACCTAGGAAGATTAGAGAGGCTACTCTAATCTGAAAGTCTGTATTACACACAGCAAGTCTTGCATCAGTTCTCATTGCTTCTGCAAGACACCGCTATCTTTAATCTACCAACAGCACAAAGAGCAGAGACTAAACAATCCAAGCCTGCTATTTACAACAGTAGTAAATTCATCTGGCTGCTACTCCAGTGGAAATTGGCGTGGTTTGCAGTGATCAGCAGCTTTGAACATCAACATCAAGAAACGTAGCCAGGGCAGCTTTAGCTGCCTCACGTAGACAAAAGATACGTCAAAGTATTTGGGAGAGGGGTACATGGGCATACAGGGAAGAAAATGGTCATGGCACAACATAATTCAACTATATCCCGTCTTCCCTGTCCTTGTCATGACTGGAACACAGCACCAAGCCTGTCAAAGTTCAAGGAGCATCTGGACAACGCTCTTAGTCATATGATTTAGTTTTAGGTAGTTCTGCGAGGAGCAGGGAGTTGGACTTGATGATCCTTATGGGTCCCTTCCAACTTGAGATATTCTATGATTCGGGTTCCAAGGTCCACGGGTGATGGGCAGCCCAAAACAAGGAGTCATAACTGGCCCTCTAAATTCCTGCTCTCCTCTGCATCCAAATATTGTGCAGAATATATTGATTCTTATCTTGGTCTCACTTTTCTAAATCATGAATTCATTGGCAGAGCTATCATAAGGGAAAAATCTTCTGGGAAAAACACAATGCAATCAACATGAGGGATTTTCCTAGGTAGCAAATTCCAGGGATTTAAGTATCAAGTCCTGTGATTGCCAAAGTGAAAAGTCAAACTATGACCCTACCTAATGTTTCCAGACAACAGGTTTCTGGAGTTAGGTGCTGCAGAGCCACAAAACAAACACTTCTTCCCTCTTTTAAGTTGCAAATTCGCCCACAGTTATAAACTGGCTTTGAGAAACTGTGATGAGGGATTTCCTGACCCGCTCTGAGCTCCTCCTCATCTTCACTCACTCACTCCATTTCTGGTCCCCTGAAGAAAAGGATACAATCAGTGACTCGGCCTCCCTGGATGTGTCCATGTTGAGAGAAGTGCAGCTGGATGAACTTGCCAAAGCGGCTGGAGTTGTTGTTATAAACTGTCTTGGCATTTCCAAAGGCCTCCAGAATGGGACTGCAGAAGTAAGGCAATGAAGATATGATTGGTGATGGGATACCACTAAAACAAAGCGTGTGCCCAGCCTTTCGCCATTTGCACAGCGTGCACTGCCACATGAGATTAATTTATTACAGCACCAGACTGGACAAGCAGGAAAAGCTCAAGGGCAAGGAAGGATGGCAAGAGCAATCTAACACGCTGCTAGATAAATTTTAAACCTTTGGGATTGGAGTTAATTAAATCAGTCCCCAATCAGTGTGGGCAGCTGGTGTTCACGCTGTCGAGGGCATTCCCCACCAGTGTGGCTTCAGGAAATGAAAGGTGGCAAGACCCAGCCAGACTGTGTGCTTAACACAGCAGCATCCCATGAAATGGGCTTGTATTTTTTCAGAAGCATCAGACATAGGGCAAACACTCTGTAGCTTTAAACCACATACTTCTTTGTTTCTGCTTCTACCTTTGAACAAGAAGACAGTATAAGCCATCTCATAAAATTACAGGCAAACATTTTCACACTAACAAACAAACATAGTACTAAACTGACTTGTTTGGTACTGAAACTTGATACCAGAACACACAAGCCCTTGTTACTTAAATCTTGCTTAGGCTGATACAAGCCACATGGGTTCCAAGCAGAGGGACTAAACATACACTATGGATTTGAAAACTTCATTCCAATAGAGCCACATTATCTACTTCAGGGAAAAAAAAATAAATGTTGAAACAGAAAAAAAAAAAAAAAAAAAATCTATCACCAAACTTCAGACAGGTGACGAATTGAAGAATTTTGTCTCCTGCTCACCATCCTGTCTTCAGGAGGTTCATACAACATGGAAAACAGTGAGTTAAAATACAGCTTGGTTCTTGTTCCACGGAACAGTACAAGGGAAAACCCTAAACCATGCTAACTGACATGCTGAATTCAGGATTAAAATATTTATTTTTTGCAATTTAGCCAAATCTAAAATAATCTGAAGGCCTGACAAGCAAGGAGTCACGGAGATGCTACAAGAACAGCACGTGTGTGGTCATGTTTAATTTTAAAACATACATAGTTTTTAACAAAAATTATTGCCATTATTACACTGAGAAATACCAGGGTTTTTTTAAACACCTCCATTGATCTACTGTGAGGTTCCACTGGAGACAGGGGCAGATACAGGATTATTCACAAGTTAATAATTATAACATGACAAATAATCACAACTATAGATACTGCTGGAGTTTGCTGAAAGCTTCAGGCTTTGCAAACCTTAGCTAAGTGAGAGCTGTGGTTGGGGGAAAGGCCCAACAACCTTCAGGAAACTTAAGGCAGTATTTTCCTAATTTATCTCTTGAAAATATCACTTTAAGGAAATAGCAGCATAGAAATGAAATTGCTCTGTTGTAATACATTACAACCATAGAAATCCCAGTCATAGAAATCTGTGCAAGTTCCTCGCCCTGGAGAATTTGAACTCTGAGACCGACACCTCTGAAACAAGCATGTAAATAAGGACATTGCACAGGAATATCCCAGTGAGCACACCAACCCCACGAATCAACAAAATTAATGGGGAGAACCAGAAAAAGGGAGGACAGGGTTCTGTTATATGACCACCACAGTTGCAGTGAGAGTGCAGTAACCAGCCAGCCAATCTTCATGGCTCTAAATCATGTTAAATTATAAACAAACCACAAGGGAGTATCTTTATAGTTTAGTTTGGTAATGGGCTTACGCACATGAGTGCAGATGTCTTTCAGGGATGGGGGAGGAAAGAGGCATGTGGGTGTCTGAGGCTGGCGGCAGCTGCAAGGCAGAGGGGTGGCTGAGCTGATACAGCCAGGATCAAGGGCAGGTGCCTGGGCCAAGCAAACTGCCCACGCCACCCACAACATCACAACGTGGCACTTGATGCAGCAGTGGACTGTGCGAGGCAGAGCGGCACATCAAGGAGGTGATGCTGGCTGCTCGGTTGGATGTGGGCAGGGTGTGTTGCAGGATGCAAAACGACGGGAACCAGTTTCAGCAGGGCAGCAGAAAGCAAAGCCTGGATTTTAGAAACATTGCAACATATGCAGCTCCAGGATTCAGATGCATAACTGAAGACAAAAAAGAAGATTCGAACATTAGAGGGATGAGTAACAGGAAAGATGGCTATGCTGTCATCAGTGGCACCCAAGGTGAAGAAGGGAGCTTCAGAGTGAAGCAAGCAAGAAAAAAAGCTGAGAGGAAAGTCAGCAGAATTTTTAATGGTCTGATGCGTATTTTCAAGAAGGAAAACAGACCAAATCAACAGTGCCAAGGGAGTTTTCAGAGCCTGATTTCTCAGAAATATACCAAGCGTGAATGTTACAACACATAAGCAAATAATAGAAAGCTGACATAACGCTTTGTTTATAATGCTGTCTGAAATGGAGAAAGAATCCAGCGTTCTTCCTGGGTATGTGCTGGGGTGCAAGGATGAAAATCCACCATTAGCTAACCCAAGGAGGGCCACTGGCAGAGCAAGTGAAGTTGAACTGCAAACAATGTGGTAGGCTTGTTAGGAGTGGCAACAGCTTCTGGCTCTGGGCCACGTCTTCAGCTTCTCTTCTTCAGGGAAAAAGGTGACAAATCAAATTCTCTTGCATTCGCATTGCAATAGCTCACATAGCACTAGAGATGTACACAAAATGGGTTGCAAGCTCTTACTCCACCTCACAGCTGTGCGATCTTGCAGGCTCAGGAATCACCTACCTACCATCGTAAGCTTTCTAGATCACAGTCAAGTTACCACTTAACTGCTAAGCAGGCTTGAGCCTTCTCAGTCGCGTGCCTTAAAGCAGATTTTGCAGATCTTGAGTCACGACTCTATTGCACTTAAGAGCTTTTTCCAATTTGCCAATGTCGGTGGTAAAATCTGCACGCCTGCAAAGGACATATCATCCAACAATGGTCTCTCGAGCACCAGGTCCAAAGGCAGCAACTCTTCTGCTCAATGATGCTCTGCTTATAAGGATCCTGAAAACTGCAATGCTCTTGCAGCTGCCACATTAGACACTACATGTCTGCTTAGGCTATTTTCACCACAGTTACTAAAAACTTTTTTGCGTCACTGTCTTCCAGGAAACATTCCTTCTGTCTACTCTCTGGGCCCTGAAATACACCACTCGCATGAGAGTCACTTTTACACAGATGGTTCAAAGGATTCCAGCTTATTACACAACTAGATCCTGTTGCAGACATCTGATTTACTCCTCTGGAGGTTTCTGCAACTATCACAGGCTCAAACTGGGACCTGAACTACCTTGACACTACTGAACTGCAAGATCCCCAGCAATGTCATCCACTCCCCGGCAAGACAGTCTTGTGTGGGGAAATTTTTGTTTAATTTAACTTATTAAATGGCATGGGTCACGGTCTCTCAGGGATGTCCCTGCCCTGGCATGGGTCACGGTCTCTCAGAGGTGTCAGGACCTCCTTTCGCATGAAGATCCCCCACAGAGCATGCCTCCATCCCCTCATGGCTGTCAGTTTCTGTCCCAAACACATCTGATCCAGGAGCCATGCGCTTCCCTGCCTGCCTGACACCTTGGCAAGGTTTTGGCAGGCGGTGATTATTCCCTGGTGCCAGCTCCAGCTGCGACCAGCCCAGGGCCTCCTCCCACACAGGTCCTGCTGCAGCCCCCAGCAAACCTCCTCACTCATGCCCCTTAGAGCTCCCATAGACGTTTCTCCATGAAATCACCTGCCTGCACAGCAAGAGAGCTGCAAGGTAGCCCACAGGACCTCTGAGGGCAAGACATACCAGTGGCCTGAAAGAAACAGAGGCTGGGGGAGAGAGGGAGCTAAAGGAGGAGACTGGAAGTCAGAGCGTGATGGAGATTCGTCGTGAGCACAGCCACAACTGAGAGCTGTGGGAGATGGGGATGACCTGGGACAGCCAGAGACGGATGTCACCCACATCCCCTCCAGCCACTGCCACAAGAGACGTAGAGCTGAAAAGAGGGACAGCGCAGTGACGTGTTGGTGAGCTCAAGGATGCAGCCAGACGGACATGGGGGATGAGATACTGAAGGAAGGAGAAATCCCAGCCTTGGCTAGACCACTAATTCTCTGGCTGCCACTTGCACCCCACACTGCCATTGGAAAGAAGCCTAGTTCATCCACGAGCAGCTGGGAGAGCAGCCAGCGTGAGGCAACCTGGCAAGACCGCAACCTCCACGTTTCCCTGACGTGACTCCGTTCAGCTGCATGATCCACAGTGCCCGGGCTTGGCTCCATTCACGGCCTGGCTGCCCCGAAGGCAGAGCTCCCACTGAGGGCAGGCAGCCCCAGCACACTGGCATCCACAGGGACGGGGCCCTGTGTGCCCTTGAGGGTGACCATACCTGCTCTCCAGGATGGCTTCTTCCACACGAGTGCTCTTCTCAGACACAGGGGCCCCGAGGGAGGTCTGGCTCATGGCTGACAGAAATTTCAGCAGCAACTTGGTGCTCTCAGTCTTTCCAGCTCCGCTTTCTCCACTGTTAAGAAAAAAAAAAAAATCATACATTTCATTCACAAATCCGGGACAGATAGAGCTAATGCCATCCCACCCACGGCAGAGAAGTGATCTCCAGGAATAAACATGTGGCGTCTCCACTGTGGCAAGCAGGGATCAGGGAAAGGGTAGGGAGGATGATGTGGATGTTTAGGCAGATGTCGTTGCAAATGGAGCAGCAGGAGCAAGGCGTGTAATGCAGTCAGGGAGTAGCCGGTTCTCCCATTTCTAACCTTATCAGAACACACTGGCTGTCATGACGCTTCCACAAGCAGCAGTAGCACTCATTAGCGGTGGCGAAGATATGGGGAGGCAGCTCACCCAGGCGGTGCTGTCTGTACAGGTCTATGGCATCCACATTGTACAGACCAGGGATGGGTTTGTAGGGATTTACTGATGCCAAGATGGAACCAATGTTTGTCTAGGGGGAGAAAACAAAACACAGCAAGGAAATAAAGCTCCTGGAAAAAAAAAAAAAAAAACACAACACAACAAACTCGGACCCTGAAATAACTCATGGTGAAGGGAGAAAGCCTAAATAAAGACGTTTGGCTTCAGCAGAGAGGTCCCCAATTTGGCAAAGAATGTCAAACACCAGGGCAGGAGCTTCACAACTGGGTATGGATGGGACAGTTTGAATTTCGCTGCTTTACAACACAATGTTCTTAGTCTGTTGTGTTTGCTAAATTAAGCTTACACAATTTAAAAACATGAAGCCATCTTCATACCCAGCTACTTTGCACTGTGCTTGAAGCTGAAAAGCAGAGCCAGGACTTAAGGAATATCAGGAGATACCTTCAACACCCCTACCCACAGTCTTAAGTGGAGGGGGCTTGGCAGGGTTCAAGCATCTCCTGAACAAAGAGGTGGGACACAGAGACACACGCGCACACACACGTATGTACAGAGCCACTAAAGCATATCATTTTTCTTCTGCTGAAAAATGGCTGTTTGGAGCAGCTTAAATCATTTGGTAAGCCAAATCAAAACTGACAGCTGAAGATGAAGCTCAGGATTTCAAGTCAAAACATTTCTACATTTTCTAAACATTTTATTTTGAAAATATTTATTTTGAAAATCTCATAGTTCAAGAAAAGAGTTAGTAAGGTTTAAAATAAAATACCTAACGCCTAATATCGAATTTCAAAAGTATTCTTTTGTGAAGTCAGAAAGAAATTAATTTTGGTTTTTGGGGCATGACTTTTTCAGTTCAGCCATCCAGCTCAAATCCAGTTATTCTCAGAGCTGCAGTTCAGAGCAATGGTGCCATCTCTCTCCTAACAATGGCTTTGTAATATGTTCAACATCCAGCTTAAATCTTGCTGCTGGCACAGTGGCCTCCTTCACATGGACATCTTGGACTGCTCTACTCCAGGAATACCCATTCTCAGCAGGGGTGACAGTGGAAACACTTTGATTGCTGTAGTAGGTGCCAAGCTTTGTGGCCAGGGACAACATCTAGTAGTATTTCCAAATCATGAACTACGAGTCTCCACACACATATACAGGGACTTGCATACATCCATTGGAGAAGCTGTAAACAAAACACTTGGTGACAAGAAAGATGCATGCTTTCTCCCTGCCAAATGAAATCTGGAGCCATACTGCAACGCCAAGCTCTGAAGCCAGAAGCCAGACAGATAAGATGCCACAGCCACCGAAATATTTAAGACTCGCTTATTAAAGCAGCAGTCAGAGATCATCAAGGGAAAAAAAAAACCAAAACATCAACTAGGTCTAACTGCATTATCAGTATGAACAGGCTAGCATGGAACAAGTCCTGAGGAACCTCTGACATGGACCTTCGTGGGCAGAATTATAATTCATTGGTGATAAAAGCAATAAGCAAGCAGATGATCTTTGGCAAGACAGGCAGGAGGAAATAGGAAAGCATTGAGAGAGAAAACATGGATCAGGAAAAAGCACTGTACAAGCAGTTGAGCAACAGACATTGTCCAGAGTCTACAAGACAGAGATGTCCATCCTGACACTTCTCCCAGACCTTCACAGCATTTTTTCCTCTCGGATGTTTCACTTTGCATTTCCCACTCTAGTTTCAGCTCTCCCAAGGAACAGAGCTGCTGCCACAGTCCTTTCCAGAACTTCTTCCACTACAGCCATCTCTTTCAAAGGTGTTTCTAGGAAACTTTTCTATCTCCCAGTTGCAGTCTCCTCATCACCTGCAGTCCCTTATAGACAATTTCTATCCACAACTTTTTAATAGCAATAGCATTTGTGCATCAACCATGTACGTAGCAGCCACTCTATTAGCAAGGAGTGATCATCCCCAGAGAACTCTGTAGAACAGGACAAGCCACGTATGGCACATCTACTTCTCAAGATAATAGATCCTACTTGGGTGGTTAGACATGGCAGAACTAGGGACAGCACAAAATGCAGCAGTACAGCCCCTGGCTCATTTATACATCACTCGTGTTATGTTGGGTCTACTTTTGTTAAGGGATACAGGAATTGCAGGAATGAAGGGGGAAGATGCACTTCTAAAAGCTGCAGGCTGTTGCTGTGCTTACATAATTTCCTTAAACAGTTTGGTAAAGCTTGAATAGTATTTCTTTGGAAAACAAAAGGTACTGTTGAGATTGTCAGTATTCCTGTAGCAAATTAATTATGGGTACCACACCAGCCTAGATACACTGCTACCTACACTCCCTGACCAGAAAGGATCCCCTTTAGGAGCTCACGGTAGGATGTTTCCAGGCACACAGCTCAGAACTGCACTGCCCTTTTTCACAGCAGTTGTCCACTCCACTTTCTCAGTTTTCCATCCTCTCATTAGTTATTTTTATTTATTATTATTTTTAATACTAGTTACCAGTATTCCAGGTTACTCATTCCTTCACGTGAATTTGTTTTCCAGAAAATCATTTCTCACCTGTTTCTGATCTCTCTGATTTCCTTCCAAATATTTTTGGCCTTGACTGATAGGCATAACTCCTCTCAATACAGCTTAATCTGCAACCTTAGCCTACTATGTTCTATCAGTGGAGACCATTGAGGATGATATTAAATGGACACAAGCCCTGTGACATTCACGGTATTCACAGATCACTGCAAGTCATTAGGTGGCACCACAGCTGACGTTCTGAATTTCTGCTTAACTGAAAACTATATGCAGCTGGGCTATGGCAAAAACTAATAGTTAGTGGTGAGGTAACGGCAATACTAATGTCTGCACTGCAGAAATGCAAAACAGCACTTGTATGGTTTGGTGCCTTCCAGGTCAGACATTGCACAAACATATACTCAGATACAGTCCCACTCAAGGAGAGGCTTACAGTCATTCACTGAGGGGTTCTTCCCAGTGCTGAGCACGTTACAGAAGTCAAGCCCCTTCATAAATCGCAAAAAAAAATCAGATCTGAGATGCACAGCTGACATTCATGCACAAGCAAAAAAAGACATAATATTTAAAAACCTTTACACATGGATGGAGAAGGTACAGAACCAATGCTGAACAGGAGAAGGAATAACATATCAGAGCTAGAGGAAAGGCTTAAGGAGATACAGCTGCCATGACAATCCCAGTGCTGGTGCTGTGGCATTTCTGGTGCAAGGCACCGACTGAAAAGGGAAAGAATCCTGCCTCACATTTCAAAGTGTGAGGAAAAGGAAATGGGAAGAATATACCCAAATAGGCAAAGAGCTGCACAAACACATAGCATGTGTCAAACACAAGTCAGGAAGAGCAGCAAGGACGAGGGCCATCAAAAGAGCGTGTGCATGTGGGTACTCCCACAGGGTCACAAGGCTGTGTTAACAGACAACAGGCAAAGGGGTTTATAGCAACAAAAAAGAGAATTTGCAGTCTCCTCTGCATCCCACTGCAGGAGATGGTTCAGAAATGGGGTCACTTTATTGATCATTTCCTGGAATACAGGTGCGTATGGTTTGGTTGCCTTGGTAACAGTTGCTATGCAACCAAGATTTACATTTTTCCTGTCATGATCTGAAAAACTCTGGGTGCACATAGCATGGACAAGCAAGGTAAGAGTAAAGCAAGGTAAGGCAGTTTTTGTAATATATGCTCCTTGTCCTCTCCAAGTCTCAGCAGAGCACACCGCCACCCCAGCACTCCAGGGATGCCTTGTCCCAGGTGTGTTTTCCCTCACAAGTCCCTTTCCTGATGCTTGCCTCCTTCCTGAGGGCCCGAGAGCGAAATCAGGAGATGCTTTGGTATTCATCTGTGCAAGGAGAGCAGAGCGACTCAAAAAAGGCATAACTGCATGTGAAAGCAGAAGAATTATGCAACAGGTTTGCTTTCCTACTTTTGTTGAGCGGTAGCTTTGTCTATCTGCATCAGGAGGGATACTCACTAACAAGCTCTGTGCACTCCACTTTCCAGTCTGCTTGGCCATATAAACCTCTGAACAGCAATAATGGGGAATCTGGGGAATGTGAGTGCCAGCTTGTAAGACACGGATGTTCATGGAGGATACAGAGATGCACAATTACCACGAAGCCTAGAGGTGAATGTTCATGTTTTGGAAGTTCTTTGATAGATGCAAAGAGGCCCCTCTGATAGGGGTAGAATCTCACAGGGCTGATGGAGCTGGTGAGGTGTAAAAGACCTCAATTTCTATCCACATGAAACAACACTCAGGAAACAACACTAAAATCAGTATTTCACATGCAAAGTGGCAGCCCCAAAGCTAAACAAAAAAATCATTAGCCAGAAGGGATGTAGCCCAGCTTGAGCACTTACATAGATGTTACCCTGTTGGTAGCGCTGGTGCAGATTAAGCAGGATGGCAGCTTCATGCAGATCTCCCAGCATGGACATGTCTTCTACCCCATCAACGCTGGTCTGGTGCATTGGCAAGACCTTTTCTCTGGAAAGGGAGGCCTTGGGGTATTGGAATACCTGGAAGAATGGGGAGAAGGAAAAATAAGCTCATGTCACCTAGGCACATGGTCTGATTTCCTACCAGAAACATGCCCCTTTCCACAGCTTTCTACTTAAGCATCGGAAAAGGAAATGAGTAAGGCACAGATCTGCTCCCTATTTTTATAGTCATTCTTCTGTTCCTACCTATTTGAGCTCTCTGGCCAGAAACCACACAGCACACTCCCTTCTTTTGCTACAGAGTCAATCTCTCACCTTCACTACTGACAGGGACAGATCAATGCAAGGTTACTTGATTTTTCCCCAAATCCCCTTAGCAGGAACAGGGGACCAGCTTCCAGCTGCACTAGGCTGGACAGGTATGACACACTGCATTCGTGACTGTGAATAATGATGGCAGCTGCTCCCAAGAGACCAGGAACAGTCTTTCACAAAAACACAGGTGGGACCATATCTCCAACTGTGGGGAGGCTGAGGCAAAGCTTATTCACATTCCAGGTTTGGCCCTGCACTCTCCATAGGAGCAGCCAGAAAGTATCTCAGAGAGGTTGTCATGTCAAGAGCAAAGGACAGCAAAGCCAAATAAAGTAGTGACATCCTGTGTGCATGTTGGCGTGTATGTATATGATGCAGCTTTCAAAATGTTTGTACAGTGACAGCTATTAACTTCTATCACTGCTCTGGGAAGTACCCACTTCTCTCTCTATGCAGTTACACTCTTCTTGCCTCAATTGCTGCATCCTTCTTCCTAGTAGAGCTTCCTCCTCCTCAGTAACCCACTCTTCAGCTATCAGGTCATCTTCTTCACCCCCTTTCAACACAGCTGAGACTATGTGTCTGTTCCCCTCCACCATAGCCACATCCCAGCCCTCCTTTCCTCCTCCTCAAGCACGATGCTGGCATTTCACAAAAGTTATTTCAGTTGCTTCCCACTCTTGGATTCAACCATACACCATCTCCCACCTAGCATCCCAAGCTGCGCTAGATGGTAAGACCCAAGAGAGACAGATGGGAGACTTCATACAGGCAGCCTGGAGAAACAAACTGGCCCACAGTAACCCTTTCAAAGAAACTTGGGCTTTTCCTTCCCTTCTGAGGCTCTGGTCTCTACCTCATTTCCATGCCTGCTTGTCAGCGCTCTCAGGTACCGGCAAGAAACTGACAGACTCCATAGAGAATGAACCATGATCTATAGTGTTGATCTAACTGGTTTCTCCTGCCTGCTTTCCTGGAGTCCTCAGGCTGCCGTAACTGCTAGGGAGAGGCCATCCACGCAGCGGCAGGCAGAAGACAGAATGAGGTCACCCTGCCCCCTCCAGCGAAGCCACCCTTGCCTGTCCCTTGCAGGGCGCTCACCGCCGCAGTGCGTTGCAGGTAGCAGGCGAGCACCCCTTCCCACCTCTGAGCCTGCACCCTCGCCAGTGCGGGGAAGGACTAACCTGGCACAAGACCCCTTTATGAGACCCCCCCACGATGCATGTACAATCGAAACAGCAGGTCTGTTCCTGGAGGGAGCTGAGGAGGAAAAGCAGGCTCATTTCCCCAGATGTGTTCACCCCAGGTCTGCCCACTCACACCTAATGTGACAAGGACTCGGTCTCTTCCACTGGGAGACTGCCCCACAGCCCAATTTTCTCATCCAGTTTTTTCAAAAATAGATAATTCATGTTCATGAACAGCACAGAACAAAGCCCGCTCCAGCTCACAGGCTCTTTCCAAGCCTCTCTGGTCTTCTCCGCACCACTTCTGCACCTGGGTATCAGAGAGGTATGACTCTGCCAGCAGAATCTGCAAGCATGGCCAAAAAAAACCCACAGGCACTTCCACAAGAGAACTGAGGGAGCAGAAAGAGAGAATGAGACAACCAAATTCATGGGAGAGTACAAGCTGCAGATGCACAACATGAACTGGGCTCTGTCAGGAGCAAAACCACTACAGCACTTTCAAACCATGAGGCAGCAAACCACCTTGGCACTCCCTTCTCTGCTGACTTGCACAAATTTTGGAAGAGGACAAGTCCAAAACAGTATGACATGATCTTTCCTTACATCTGCCTGGCACTTACTCATTTACCACTGCATTGTCAGCACTTGTGGCCATTTGGTCCAGAAGACAAATATTAAGAAAACATCTGAGGAAAAAGCTGAGTGGACAAGTGTGCCAAAAGATACCAGGCAGTTGGCATCACCTGTGCCAAGAGGCTGCTATGCAAGAAAAATAACTGTGATGGGTCAGAGCTTGTTTACTTGCTCTTGTAGACAACATAGGAGAAAATGGGACCCTGAAGAGCAACAGGGGCCCTAAATACACAAGTAAATGATTAGTAGGGATTAGATCATCACCTGTTAAACCTGTCTTGAGCCACCTGATTGTGGTTATTTGGTCATCCTTCTCTAAAAAATATCTGGTTCAAGACCCTCAAAGAGTTAAGCAGGTGCTCTGACAGGACTGAAGCAAAGGTGGATTAGGAGCATTGGCTCTGGTACCCTCTGGACAGAAACACTGCGTAGGTGAAATATACTCCCTGGAGGAGCGGTCTGATGCCACACGGACGCCCTAGCTGAGGCCAAGATGTCACCTGTCTGTCCCTGAGGCCAGGGAGGTTCAGTGAATACCCTTGCCCATCACTGTACCCCTAGCAGCTCACCCTTCCTCAGGCAGAGACTGGGACCTCCAGCCCCACTGAGATTTGGGAGCTGGGGTCTCTGTGCCTCTGGAAGGCACTTGTGGTATGCGGGAGAAGTTTCAAGCCTTCCCTGGCACTGGGAGACAGTTGACTTTTAATCTGCCCACTGCCCTTCAGGGTAGAGACAAGTTTCCATTCTCTCTATCCCCAACAGGCTGCAGGAATCATGCAGGGTCCTGGAGACAGACATACGGTGTTGGATTGTTTGTTTTCCCCAAGATTGTGTCACAGGGGCTTTCCTCGAGGAGCTCCAAGATTTGAGACACAAACAGGACCCAGATATGATGAACCTCTGCCCTTACAGCTTGCACGGTGCTGCACTGATCCAGGCCAGCCAGGACCTTTCCCACCTCCAGCCATCCCAGTAAAGAGGCTGGCTCTTGTTACCCCACTGCTCGCTTCTGGAACCCTCCAGCAACCTGCCAGGACAGCAGTTTGGAAGAACATCCTCCACATCATCCTGTTCCACGTAAGGTAAGCCAGGCTGCCTTCAGCAGCTTGCACTACTGAGCTGAATACGATGGCTGATTTTGCCTGAAGCAAGTGAGACACAGACGAACTGATCTCTCAGCAGAGCTGCCTCTGGAATATTCCTCTTCCAAAAAGCTAATACTTAAACTGGAAGTTGTAGGTGTTAATAAGCAGATTTTTATTATTTAGGAAGAAAAACAATCAGCTTTCAGTCTAACTACAAACAAGCCATCAAATACCACACAGGCACCTTACAACACAGCCAAAAATTTCTACTTTCTCCACAGTGATAAACTGATTTTGTCTCACATTTAGCCCATGGTCAGAACAACATGACCAGGACTTTCTGCAAGCCCCTCTGCAAAACCTGGCCAGCAGACAAGCCAAGATGAGGATTGCCAATCCCGCTCACCAGGCTGAGCAAGGGAGAAATGATTCCTTCTCAACCTCAAATCCATCCATTAGTGTAACCTTGAGCACGTGAGCAAAGCTCCCACCTGGCATCTAAGTTGCGTTTATCCATAAAGTATTCGGTTGGTCTGTCTGGACTATGATTTCCAATCTTGTGTTTCCTAAGTGTCGGCTTGTCCTTTCCTCCCAGGAAGTCACATTTCTGATGGATTTGTTGCTTGAGGTGTTTTTAAGGAAGTGAAAACAAATAGCAAAAGCTCTGAAGCACGACTGGACTTCCTACCTCAGAACTGCAGGGATGCTGGGCCACAGCAAATATGAGGACACTAGATTTAGGGATCCTAAAATCAGAGGGATCAATTGATCCATCCAACCTAAAGTGAAGATGTTTTCATCTGATTTTTCACCTGCGGCAGGACAGCCAGTCCCTCCTGCAGTCATGGAGCAATGAAGGTGGCAGGTGAGGGATGCACATAGGGCAGCTATTGTGGAGGGCACCGAATAAAGCAAGCCCTTTAATGATCACCATGTGCTTTTTCTGCATAAGCCATAAAGGACATACTCATTCAGCCTAGTAGTTTCTTCTTTCATGGAGGAAAAAAACCAAATCCAGCTTTTTTTTTTAGATCTGTGACTCTACCCAGCATTATCCTGTGCACATTTTCTAGCATGGGCACAGGCTGGCAGTAGATGTGCCCACTCAGCTGGCTCTGTGGTGGAATTTCTGATGTCCTTTCAGAGGTGCCAGGTGGGTTTGGAGGATTTGCCCAGGCCACGGCAGCATATCAGAAGAGACAGGAGCAAGTCTGGGAGAGTCACAGAAGTACTCACCATTTGTTGACCCTCCGCAGGCTGCTGTATTACCTGTGAATGCCCCTGTGATATCTTAAAATGAGTTAGTGACTATCCAGCACTCCCAATACAAGGCAACTTTTCAAGAAAGGATTTGAGAGACTCAAGTAACCAGATGGAAAACCTATGCATCTGCTAGGTGAGTTTCTGTCTCTGAGAATCAAGTCAGGCTCTTTAAAAAGGAATGATGATTTGAAATCTAGCCCTTTCAAAGCAAGACTGAAAAACTGACAGACCTACCACTGACTCTCCACAATCCCCTTTCCCTCTGCACCCTCCTTTGTTTGACAGGTAAAAGGTTGAAAAAAACCTGTCCAATTTTCTGTAACAAAGAAGCTGCCTGCAGAGCATCAGTTCACCCAAACAGCTGAGCAGATCTAACTGCTCACTGCTGGAGAGCACAGTCCTGCCCATTTCTCCATCCTTCTCCCATCCCAGACACCAGTGTGACTCACCAAGAACCTCAGTGAAGGCAGTGAATACTTCTCCCAGGGTTAGCAAGCCGAGCTGAGTCACCGAGGGCTTGGATGATCCCCAGAGGTCCCTTCCTACCAGTGTTACTCCCCGAGCACTGCAGGGAACCACAAGCAGCAGCACAAGGGCTGGAAATGGGGCAGGAAAAAGGCTTGTTCTTGGCGCTGGCAGAGAGCTCGGCTCTCAGAGGAGCTCGGTTGCCTTGTTGAACTGTCTCAGGCATAGCTGCTGACGACTGACACAGGGAGCTCACTTCTACCTGCCCCTGGCCCGAAGGGCTGATGGCAAAAGCTGCTGAAGCAGACAGCAGCGAGCACAACAGCCCTTACAGCAGCACGGCGTGCAAGAGGCACATCCTGGCAGAAAGGGCTGCTTAGGTGGTGGAGCTGCCTCCTTCCTAGGAGCATTTTGCCAATATAATCATTTTGCTAGGCCGTTAACGCAACTCCTTCAAAGACAGCACAAGAAAAACCAAGCAAAGTGAGGTGGGCAGACAAATGAACAGAAGAAAGAGAACAATCTTCTCTTTTTAACCTTTGTTAGACCTTTGGCTTTGTTTGTAACAGACCCGGGTCACTTTTCAGACAGAATTGCAGCATTTCAATTGATACATTTCATTTTAATGTGAAGGTCATGCAAGACCTAGAAATCTACCTTGCAACTTGGCATAGACTACAGCCTCATGAGAACTTCACTTACCGTGCCATAATCCGAGGTGAAGAGCACATTTCCGTCGGCACAGGAGCCAACAGTGCATGGCTGCAGCTGGTCCTGCTCCCGCAGCCATACCCTGGCACCCTGCAAAAACCAGAAAATCTCCCATTAGCAAGAACTGGAGCCTGCGAGATCTGCGCACAGGGTGCAAACACCCCAGGAAAGATGGGGGAAGCTGCGGTATTCAGAAACTACTGCCAAGCTACAGCTGCTTAAAATTTTTAAGCAAGTCCTGCTTACATTTTCAGATAAACTGGTTTTGGTTTTTTTAATGTAACATGAGAAGAAGAAAAAGAGGAAACCACCACAAGGAAACATCAATTTTTATAGAAAGAGTCACAGAAAGATACAAACACTCAGAATAGCGGGTTCAATTGTCTAAATATTTTCAAACCTAGAGTAGCCGGTCATTAAAAGTCACTCTACAATAATAATAGAAAATGTAAATAAAGCATATTTACAATTTCATACACCCACACATCACTAAGTCTAAATGCTTCCAGAAATCATCAGCAACAGCTAAGTAGACTTCACAGAGATTTGTTTGCCTCTTTTGCAAGAGTTTCCTTCAGTAATTGACATGAGTTGAGTGTTTCTCTGATGTATATATACACTGATGTATATATGACGGCCCTGATGTATATATAGTTTCACACACAACATCTTAAATTGCTTGGTGTCTCTCAAGATGACTCTGAGCACAAAGGTAGATTTCTGGTAACACATATGCAGGGATCTGCAGGGCAAGCAGGTCTCATAGCTTGCCTACCAAAAAAGTGCAGGGGAAATTAGTTTGCTGGATTAGCCTCTTCTGCCCTGCCTGACTGTGGACCTGGTACAAGGGAAAGGGCAGGAGCGCAAAGGCAAATCAGGGAGAGCGTTACCTGCAATTACACAGCATTAGGCATAACATCACACCACATTTCAGTTATTGCAAATTAAGCTGTTCCATGTCTTCCCATAGAAATCACATAAACTCTGCTTAGATAAGCATTGAGAAAAAGCCAAAGTGCTGAACTGTTGAGTAATGTTAAGGCCATCCTGCTTTTCATCGATTCATACACCTACTCTCTTCCTAATTTCTCTTCTGCCCCTAAGTTATTGATTTTAAAAGCCCTTCCTACCCTCTTAAACCCGTCAGCACCATTAGCTCTTTGCTTATAGGCTTATTAGGTTCGAGGAGATGCAATAGTATTTCTATATTACATTATACAGAATATGGAACACTAATTCTATTTTTAATGATTTATTTTAGTTTAGGTGGGGTTTTTTAAACTACTTTAGTCACTTCAAACATTTTAGTACCCTGGAATTTCCTTATTGTAGAAGATACGTCTATTGGCCAACCTCCAGCCCTCCCAATAAAGGAACTGGTTTTAATGACATTAAAAAAGGCCTACATAATTCTAGCTCTGCTGCTGTGTTCTGCTCCAGAGCTTCCACAGTAGGCAGATTAAATTGCCCTTCACCAAGTGAATGAAAAGCACCAGCGCATCTGATCAGTACCTAAAAACAAGGACGGTGTGTGAAGATCACTCTCATGGCCAGTGAGCAATAGCAATAGAAAGAAATGTTTTCTTATGTTACAGATTCAAGTTTCAAGATCCTGGAGTGCTGGTAAGCAATGTATTGAACATAGATTTTGAGGAACTATATAGAGGTCTTCATGACATCCTCTTACATTTTCTGAAACTCTTGATGCTTGAGACGAAGTGTCCTAAGGCATCTGGGCAAGACATCGCTGTTGAGAAATCATCCATTTCCCAAATCACATTCTGACTATTCTGCATAAACATATGAACAGCAACGTGTGTTAGTAGAAGACCTTTACACTATTTAAACCAGAGGCTCCTACTACCATTACGGTATAGAGCAAAGACTCAGAAAACTGCAAGGTTGTGTCTGGAATTCCCAGCAGTGGGATGAAAGAAAACCTTTTCTAATACACTTGTCGTAAGCACTCATTCCCAACAGTGCATTTCAATGCCTTCAGACACCAGTAACCCAGGAGCACACAGATGAGACCCTGCCAGCAAGCGCAGTTTAATCAGGAGCCAGGCCCGCACCCTCCCACACACTCCGCACCCCGATGCCATGGCACGCACACAAGCGTGCGCACACACACAGCCCCCAGCATTAGGAGTGTGCCATGCTCACAGAACCCTACGTGGTCTGTCTCTGCAGACCGCGGTGGTCCGGGTTACACACACGTTCCGCTCCCTGAGCTCAGAAATTAGTTTGGAGATAGAGGCAGATGATAATCTGACACACAAGAGACACTCCACAGTCATGAACACTTATTTATTGGGTACCATTTAGAGGGAAAAAGAGGGGAGATGGACAATGAGCTTCCTCTGGTATCTTCAACATCTAGAAATTATCAGAAAGTCCAAACTGACCCAGACCCCTTTCCAAGCAGAAGTCCATAGGCAAAAGTAGTGATGTACTCCCAAAAGGAGACACGGTTCTTCTGTACAATATTGCACCATTTCCTACAGACTTACGACAGATCCTTCTGCGTGCTGCTAAGGAATAGAAGGCAACACGATGAAACTCCCAGGCACCGTGACATTTCAGCTGCCCAGAACTACTTACTTCAGTTTACTTTGATGTTGTAGCTGTTTTTACAGCAGCAATTGCCTCTGCCTAGTAGAATAACTGTTGTTTCCAAAAGGAACATCATGCTGAGACAGCCAGAATAGGAACCACACAGCAAATAATTATTGTAACTTCTGCCCAGCATAGTCCCCATTTCCTGAAAGGCCAAGTTTGTTTTAGTGCATCTCCTTCCATCAGCCCTTTTTTCTAAACATGAAATTCCCCAAGGAGCCTTGACTAATTACAGAAACAGATGGTGACACCAAAGAGACAGCCCTCGCATCACTCCTCTCACCCCAATACCACACATTTCATTGATCGGTTGAAAGGATTAAATTGAGCAGAAAACTTCCAAGAACTGCCAGGCACCAAGGCTGAATTTCCATGGGAGAAGCAAGGGCAGCAAAGCAGAGCACAGCCCAGCACCGCAGAGCAGTGACCTGCCAGCTCTGGGGGGTTCCAGCTCCCATTGGCACCACAGACGATGGGAAACCCCTGCTCTGTTAGCGAAAGAAAGGCCTTGAGGTGCTGGAGCGAGTCCAGAGAAGGGCAGCAAAGCTGGTGAAGGGCCTGGAGCACAAGTCTGATGGGGAGTGGTTGAGGGAGCTGAGGGTGTTCAGCCTGGAGAAAAGGAGGCTGAGGGGAGACCTGATCGCCCTCTACAACTCCCTGAAAGGAGGGGGTAGCGAGGTGGGGGTCGGTCTCTTCTCCCAGACAGCTAGTGACAGGACAAGAGGCATAGTCTGAAACTTTGCCAGGGGAAGTTCAGGCTAGAAATCAGGAGGCATTTCTTCACAGAAAGGGTCGTTAGGCATTGGGATGGGCTGCCGAGGGAGGTGGTAGAGTCACCATCCCTGAAGGTGTTTAAGAAAAGACTGGACATGGCACTTAGTGCCATGGTCTGGTTGATGTGATGGTGTTATGGCAAAGGTTGGACTCTGATCCCAGAGGTCTCTTTCAACCAAATCGACTCTGTGAAAAGAGTAAAAACCCTCTGATTTTCAAACTGGGAAATAGAAGGTCTCGTCCACATCCAGAGGCAAAACAGTTTAATAAAATGAAGCAACAATCAATCACTGATTTGAAGAGAACACCTTAAAAGACAGCTAAGGAACAGCAGAGTGATGATTTTGTGTAACTGCTTTCCATTGAATAAAGCTGGTCAAATACCAATGACACAGTTAACTTGAGCCCCTTATATAATGAGAATAGCTCATCCCCTTCTAATTCTTCTTTTAACTAGGAGTTTATTAGGGGGGTTGTTTTGTTTTTAAGTAGGGTAATGACAGCAAGTACTGAAAGAAAGAATAAAGTAGTAATGTACTAGAGTTCCTGTATCAAGGGTAGGTCACTTGGATGTTAAACGAACTCTCAGAGACCAGCATCCTCATTTCTATGGCCTCAGTGACAATCCATCCATGAACTGGCCTTTCCACAAACTGCATAGCAAAGCACAATCCTGAAAACTGATCCTATAACATGGGGTTATAATTTAGAAAATAAAGTTGCTTGCATACCAAGAGCAGCGTTTCATCAGTACTGCCTCACTCCCACACTATGATGTCTTCCACTGTGGACAGTAAACTCTAAGATGTTATTTTTCTCTGTTCACATAATACCTGGCACTTTGGGATCCTAGACTTGAAAATAAATAACACTTCCTGGTATCCAAGATATCAAGAAACCAACTGAAGCCACAGATTTCTTTAGCATTCTGTGCCTTCTTTAGAGTGACCGACACCAGAGGTTCTCTCTTGCATTCACACGCCTGTATCTGTGTCTCAGCAGATGCAGTATGCTGTCGGCTGGGAAAGCATAAAGGAGATCTTGTACACTGTACCCCAGGGAAGGGGCATAGAGGCAGAGAAGCAGTGCACAACCCTTACCACAGAAGCAAAGCACCCGTGCATTAAAGCAGTGTGTAGCTACCAGCGGGTACACCCTCCTCATCAGCTACCCAGCTACTGAAGGCAAAGCTCCAGAGGACAAGACACAGAACTCTGTACCTGCAGGTGCCTTTGCCTCTCCAGAGCCTCCCAGCCCGGCAGGAGACACATGCAGGGATTGACATGAGCAAGCCACTGTGCTTTTTGTTGGAAGACACCTTGCCGTGTACGAAACAAGTGCACAATTGTCCACTATTTCCATTACAGGGCGTTTTTGTAATGTATTTTTTGTGAATGAACACAGCTCTCAGCCACCAGATCTACCTGCAGAGAGGCTCTTACAGCGCCTTGGTTTGGGTAACTATCCCTGATCACTGCTGCAGCCATTCTGCAAGAGGCAGAGACCTAAAATGTACACCCCTGCACTGTGAGCCCAAAATCTCTGTGGGTGCTAAAAGTTTTTCAACTTTAAGTATTGTGTATATACATACCTTTGTCCTCCTGGCACACTGAGGCTGTTCAGTGGGTATTACGCATCCAAGCCTTGTGTTTTTCCTGGCGCTGGATCCATACGCTCCTAGGCTTGGAAACAGCATTGCG